TGCGGTATAACACGCGTAGTGGTTACGAATCGGGCTGCTAACCTCAACGTCGAAAGTTCGAAACTACCAGCTGTTCCGCGGGAGAAAAATGTTTCTGTTTCTGCTTCCGTAAAGATTTACAGCCTCGGAAACCCAGTGCAGGGTTACTATGAGTCGGAACGGACTCCACGGTCTTTAACAACACCAGCAATGTAAAGGTAGTAATTATGGTGCTTCCTTACTCAAGAAACATTTCCATGGGTCCTATAGTGTGCTCCACGGGTATCATTAGACGTAAGCCTCTGGAAGGTTAGGAGCAGATTGTCTTGTTTCAGCTCAAGAATGCACTTCGGAAAACCTCAGAATTCTCCAGCCTCCACATGTCCGCTACTTCCCTGTCTGTAATTAGGTCGCCCACCCAGAGCTCGCACCCCACAGACCCTTCCACATCCTGCAACCCAATTCCAAAGTCTCACCCACCTGAACTCCCAAGGGCGCCGCGCCACTCGCTCTTAGACCACGGCCCTGCTCAGAGCGTCTCTAAGATTCCCACGATCATGCGTCGCAGCCCCCTCTTCACCTCCGCCAAGGGCCACCCACAAACCCAGAATTGGCGCTTCTTACCCGGCTCAGATACTCCTTGCCTTGCCTTTCTATAGCCAAACGCGCCAAAATTCCAATTTGACTCCACCCTGCCTCTGACATCAGATGCCGACCGGACTTGGGGCCGCACTGATTGGCTACAGTAGCGCTCTCGGAAGAGACGACCGGAAGAGAGAGCGGAGTACTATTCCTGTGTCGAGCAATCTGATTGGCGCCTTCTTTGTTAGGGGCAATACGACTTCCTGTTGCTGAAACCCTCAGCTTTAGGTAAAGTAGTATCCTGGCGCCTCCTAGCGTCCAGTTTAAGTCTTCCTGTATAACATTTTGACGGGAGGATCAAACTTAATTCCAGATACTGATTTTACCACTCTGGACTTCATTTTCTCATTTGTGGGGTGCAAAATAACATTTAAGGCCGAGAAGTTTGGACATTTTAACGTAAACTGCGGGACACATTTCAGAATGTTATCCCTGCCTTCACAAATACCTGTGCTGAATTGCTTGTGTAGAAATCTGAACAAGTTTGACTATTTCACTTAGTTTTGCGATCTTATGTTCAATTGAGGTGTATGAACTGAAAAACAAACCATGTATGCAACACAATGTCTCTTGAGTTTGCCATTTCCAGCATAGTAAACCATAAGATTGTCAGATTCAAAATGACCAACACCAGTCTATTTCAGTTTACTAATGCATAGGATATTGACCTTGATAAGTTTCATTTTATTTTTGATGACTTTCAATTTTCCTAGATTCAAACTTTGTATATTCCACATTCCAATGATTAATGTTTGTTTCCAGCTGTTTCTTCTCATTTTGCATTGTGCTCCATCAGCAAAGATGGTCCTGGAAGTTTTGCTCAATCCAAGTCATTAAGGTTTGACTCTCTTCTTTGAGGAGGAAATTCTTTCTCAGTCATATTTTGAGTACCTTCTAACCTGAGTGACCCATCTTCTGGCACGGTATCAGATAATGTTTCACTGCTATTCATAAGATTTTCAGGGGCTAATCTCTCAGAAACATACCTCCTAGTTTGTTTTTAGTCTGGAAACTCCACTGAAACCTATCTGTCATGGGTGACCCTGGTGGTAATTGAAACAGCATTTGCATAACTTCCAGCATTATAGTGACTCAAAAGCCACTAAAGTAGGACAAACGGAAACACATGGGATCCACTAATTACAGCTTTATATAATTAAAGGGCAAAATTGCAACATATATCTATCAGCTGGAAGGTTTCTGAATCAGCACTTTTTGTATTAAACTTCACACCTTTGCAATTATTTAGCTAGAGGGAAAAAAAACTACTTAAAGCACTCAGGGATGATAAATTTTTTCATAACAAGAGTTGTTACATGCCATCAAGTTGGTTCCAACTCATAACAACCTTCTGTAGGGTTTCTGAGACTGTAAATCCTTGTGGGAACAGAAAGCCTCATCTTTCTCCCGTGGAGCAGCAGGTGGCCTCCAACCACTAAGCTTGTGGTTAGCAGTCCAGGTTTTATCCTAATGCTATTTCAATGATTTTAAAAATAACAAATCACGAAAGTCATAGGATGCTGAAATTAATTTATACTTTGTATTTGCCTTTTATAGCAAAGCAGCTTTGGCACTTTTCATTGTTCCACTAAAACATACATTTTGTTTCTTTTATTTGGTTCCTGTTACACTTAAAAACCGTAGCTGTCATTATCAAATATTCCCAACTGATGAATGATGATATAAAAAATCTGATTATTTCATTAACAATCCCAAATTGAACTTTTCGTTATACATCAAATGGAAGTGCTAGCTACTCTTCATGCCCATCTTCAGCTTGTGATGTGTACAATGTGTTACGTTTTTGTTAGTGCCATGGACTCGGTTCTGATTCATAACTCCGTTCTGACTCATAGTGACCTTGTATAGGGTTTCCAAGGAGCACTGATAGGCTGAACCATCAGCCTTGTGATTAACAATCCTGTGTTTATCCTATAGTACCACACCAGGACTCCTCACAATGTGATTCAGTTATTTAAAAATATAACATTTGAAGACTTACTATAAGATTATTTAATTATCACTCTTTCATACCCTTATTCCTGTTTCTTTCTAAAAGTTCCCATCTTTCGATTGTTCCCCATTTAACCAGACTTTAAGAATACAACATGGCAGGCCCTGGAAGAGAAGCCAATATTATGATAAGGTATAGTTATCTGGTAACATGGAACTTTGAAATGATACTTGACTAAACAAATTAGATAAGATGCACAGAATTTTCGAGTTGTCTAAGCTACTGTTTGATTCCTTCAAAATAACAGCTTTAATTTAAACAACCATGTGAACCTGCTTGCCTTCATTTACAATCCTAATGATCAAGAACAGTCAGAACACAGGCTTAATATGGCCATGCAATGCTATTATTTCAGAGTTCGGATCTATTTAATATTTTTCTAGAACAAAGTAAAAAGATATCCCCAATAACTTAAATCAGAGATCATTTGGTTTGCATCTCTATTTAGGATACTAGAGAGATCTATTTTCTCTGGTATAAAATAGCAAGGAAGAAAAATGAAATGAGAAATCCTAAGCAAGAAATTAAAAGCAAAATTTCTATAGTAATTGGAGTGGGGCGGGTGGGGGAGTTTTTAGATCTAAATCATTGTTGAATTTGTACAGTGTTTTGTCTTGGTGTGAAGATGTCTTAACTACTTTGATTTGTTTAAATATATATATCATAGAATTGCCTATGAGAGATTCTTATAAAAATCCAAAGAAAGGAGATCATTTAGTCTGCTTTTAATGTTTTTAAAACCTAGATGCATAAGAACATTATTTATTTTTATGGTTATTACAATATTAGACAGTTTCAGTAACCTCTCAAACTCAAACTCAGTGACAGTGAGTTTGTTTTGACTCATAGTGACCCTGTATAGCAAGGGTGGGGAACATCTGGTTGGGGGTTCTGTGTTGTCGTTGTTAAGTGCCTTTGAGTCAGTTCTGTCTCATAGTGACACTGTGTAGCAAAGGTGGGGAACATCCAGCCCATGGGACGTATGTTGTTATTGTTAAGTGCCTTCGATTTGTTTCTGACTCATAGCGATGGTCCGCATTTGGTCTGGTCCTGCCTAGGCAACCGCAGTTCCAGCATTATCACATCATTGTTGTTATTAAGTGCCGCTGAGTCGGTTTCAACAGAATGCTAATATTTAAGTTGATAATTTTGTCTGGCCCATGAATGATGTTATAAATTTTGACAGAAAAAAAGTTCACAACCTCTGCCGTATAGGGTTTCCAAGGCTGTAAATCTTTATAGGAGTGAAAAGCCTCATCTTTCTCCCATGAAGCAAGTTTTAGTGGGTTTGAACTGATGACCTCACAGTTAGCAGTCCTGTGTTTCTCCTATAGCATAACCTCTAGGTTTTTAAAAAATATGGCTAACACCTGCTGATTGACTTCCTTAATAAGAACAGCTTCCAACTCCGACAAGATGCACTAGTCTCTAGAAAAGGGATCTTCTCATGGAATTAATAATAGCAGATCTTATTATTAAGCGGAATAAGCTTAAGACGAAAGGAAAAACCCAAAAAACAAAAATGAAATACACACTATAAATTAGCCATATCATATATGAAGAATGTGAAAGATTCGTAAGCAAAATTTTATTTTGCATTAACTTTTTTGTGTGTGATTATTAAGATACAACTTGATCTAGGAAAAAGTAGTTGACAGACAGCTGCTTTTTTTTTACAAGCTAGTGAATGTTCTACTCTATCAGTCCATATTATCTGCGGTACAATAAAAGAACAAAGGCAACTTTTTACACTATCCATTGTTATATGAATTCAAATGAAACAAATACTAGTATTTTTTCACTTGTTCTGATATCAAGTAAAAGTTCACAGTGCTTAGATGAAGACAGCCATGTCCTAACTTTGGTACAATTACTGTGTCTGCGTTAAAACTACAACACACAGATATGCACACAACCCCAAATCACTTCATTTTAAATGAAGAAAAATAACAATATAATTTATTAAAAAATACTTCAAAGACACTTTTCTTCATTATATCTGTGATCACTTCATTTTTCCTGCTTCCTTAAAGGTTCTCACCATTTATCAGTGAAGTATTGTCCATCTGATTACATATACTCTGTTATACGATGTTTCCAGTGCAGGGCTCACATAAACCGAACATTAAAAACAAAACAAAAACCTGAATTTATTTTAAGGAACATTCTACTAAGCTTAAGATTCTATTTTTTGAAATCAAGGAGATCCACATACAAACATGTCCTGCTTAGAACAAATATGCTTTCTTTCTCCCAAAATAAACATACTAAGACAAAATATTTGAGTAAAAACAACACAGTACAAGACTTGGAGGAAAAGATCTGACGTTTACCAACAGTTTAGAGGGAGGTAAAACATTAACACTTAAATGATGCAGTCCATAACATGAATCTGCAGTGTGTCTATGTCGGGCAGAACTTCTCCACATTTGGGGCAAGAATGAATTGGAATATTCCTTTGTTGCTGCTGCCGCCAGGTTCTATCCTCAGCTCCTGGGAATAAGCATTGAAGAAAATGTCATTCCATTAGTTTCGTCTTGTAAGCAGTTTTGTTTTAATAACAGATGGGCTAATATTAACGTAAATTAAACCCTGTAATCAATATTTAGCCTGAAGTGAATACTGATTTTTTTTTCTTTAACTGACCAGTATGTAACCACTATACATAGATAAACTATATGGAAATGGGACTCTGCTTCTTTCTTTTTTCTCTTAGGCTTCCAGCTCCATCCCATGAAAATACATGGTTTCAGTTCTTGGTATATGACAATACATAGTCTAGTAAAAACTAGAATATTTGAAAGAAGGAAAGAGATAAATGAGGATACAAGCAAAAGGAGACGGAGAGAATGTGGAAGAAAAAATGAAGAGAGCATGAGAGAGGTATTCTAGAACAGTAAGCTCCGGAGCAAAGATAATATAAAGAGGCTTCAAAATGTTTGTGGGGAAATCTTTCCACATAGTATTCATATACTTTTGTGTACTCTAGGATGTGCAAGAGACTGTGCTATGTGCAGGAATGCAGATGTGCTGGGGCCATCAGCAAGCATGACAAGTGCAGTGTGGTGAACACCATGACTTTGTTCTTCATGAGGAGGTTCAGCAGATGCGCAGAGACAGCACCCAACTTAGTCTACTCAGTTAAGAAATGTTTCTGGGATAAGAGTGATTACACTTGAGAGGTGTCTTAAGAATACAAAGGAGTTCTCCACAAGGTTAAACTAAGTAAGGAGAAAGGATGGGAAAATGTGTGGGCATGTGCATAAGTATGTGTGTGTTGGGCACCATTCGATTGACTCTGACTCATAGTGAGACTACAGGCCAGAGGCAAACTGCCCCACAGACTTTCTGAGGCTGTGATCTTTACGGCAGCTGACTGCCTCATCTTTCTCCGATGGAGCCGCTGGGTGGGTTCAAAGGTCAACCTTTCTATTAGCAGCTGAGTGTTTCATAACTACACCACCATGTCTTCATGAATTGAAGAATGAGTTGTGTAATTTCCCCCAATTCTGGAGTTACACTGGGGTTCCAGTCAAAATAGCCTTGGCTTGAGCAATGATGGCAATTACTTCTGGCTTATAGGGCATCTCTTTAATCTGACCTTTCTGGACCACTGCAAAACCATTTTGGCTTTTCAAAGTCTCAGAACAGTTTCAAGTCCCTGGACTTTGATTCAGCCCTCAAAATGTTGACTGTTGGGGGATGATAGCAGAGATTAACCTTTAACCATGGTTATTTGCTTCTAGGCACAGTATTTGAAGTTAATACCATGGTAACACGATCACAGTTTATATTAGGCAAACATTAGAGGCATTTTTGACAATACATATTTTTCAGTAGAAATATTTATCACAAGGCATTGTGATAAATCACAAGTGATTTCTAAATCAGGGAGCTTTCTGACTCATTGCTCTAGATCTGGGGGTCAACAAACTTTTTCTATAAAGGCCCAGAGAGTAAATAAGACTTAGCAGGTCATGTACTTTTCATCCCAACTACTTAACTCTGACACTGTAGCATGAAAGAAGCTATAGACAATACATAAATAAATGGGCCCAACTGTATCAACATAAAATTTGACACATTATACTCATTTTTGCCTTTGCTCTTCTATTCTTACACCAGACCTATCTGAATCGTTACTTCAAAGTTAAGCTTAAAGCCATATTTTATCAAGGCCTTTCTCAATTCCTCTGATAGTTAAGTGTTCATCTTTCCTCTGATTTTACAGCACTATCATATCTATTATTTTCATGTTATCTTCTACTATGAATTAATGTTTTTATGTGAACATCCCATGTCCCAACCAGGCCATAAATCTGTAAGGACCATGTCTTACACCTTTTTGCTGTCTAGTGCCTGGCAGTTGTGTCCTAGAATGGAGTAAACACACATGTAGCTGCTGATGGCAAGAATGATGATTAAAAAAAAACCCATCAGCTGCTCTGCAGAAGAAATACAAGGCTCTCTGCTTCTGTAAAGATTTACAGCATCAGAAACCATATACAGGGTTACTATGAGTTGGAATTGATTCAATGGCACTGGGTTTAGTGGTGTTTAAAAATTATTAGTATTAATGTTGTTTAAAGCCGTCTTGTTAAGACGTTTAAAAAGCTTAAGGCAGTCTCTAAAGGAGTTCTGGTGGTGCTGCAGGATAAGCATTGGGCTGCTAATTGCAAGGTCGGCAGTTTAAATGCACTGGCTGTTCCGTGGGAGATTTACAGTCTCGGAAATCCCATGGTGGTGGTGGTGGCTGTGTGCCACCCAGTCTATTCCGACTTACAGTGACCCTGTATAGCATTTCTGAGTTTGTAAATCTGTATGGGAGGAGAAAGCCTTCTCCCACAGAGCAGATGATAGGCTCAAACTGCTGACTTTGCTGTTGCTAAGAGCTGGAACTGACTCATGTCAGTGGGTTGTAGGGTATTCTTTATTTGGAATGTTGTTTTTAAAAAAATAATATAAAATGGTTTTTAGGATAATTTAGAATAAATAGATACTTTGGGAAGATTTTTAGATTACAAACATAAATAAAATTTTTAAGATTATAAACACAAAGACTGTTTGACCAGTTCTTTCTTATGTAAATAGGCATTTCCCTTTTACACTAAAGATGATGAAAAATCTTCTTTTAAGAAATTCAGGTGCAAGAGATTGCCCTTTTTTGTTATTTTGTAAGACACTTGTAGACATAATATATATTAGTGTTCCTAGATACTTAGGAGTCCTGGTGTGGTGCTGTGGGCTAATGTGCTGGACAGCAAAGTCAGTTTGAATCGCAAGGTTGGCAGTTCAAGCTCATCAGCTGCTCCTCTGAAACCCTATATAGGGTTGCTATGGGTCAGAATTGACTCGACAGCACTCAACAACAAGATACTTAAGAAAGCCCAGTGTGGTGCTATAAAGATAAGCATTTGATTGCTAATTGCAAGATTGGTGGCTCAAACCCACCAGTCACTTCTTGAAAGTCTTATACTCTTACTGACAATAACAGGATACTTAAAAGCAGGCTAGAGAAATTGCCTGACAGTATTTAAGTGGGAAGGTGCAATTTTCAGAGATGAATATAGATTTTCCTGTGGAAGCTAAGAAATACCCAAGGTTATTATTTGTCATTCCACATGCTACCTCTCCCCTTCTGCATGCTTATTTTAATCTGAATTAGTACTTTTTTAGTTTCTAGTTTGATCTACTTTATCCTATAAAAGAGCTTGGGGCAGGAGAGAAGCACAAGGAAGAATCAGATATTTCCCGAAGATATAATACTTATGAAATCTTGTATAGTTTCCTATGTTGTTGTTGTTATGTGCCACTGAGTCGGTTCTGACACGGAGATCCTGTATAGTGTTTCTGAGGAGTGGCTGGTGAGTTTGAAGCACTGACCTTACGGTTCAGTGTTTCTCTTACAGCACCACACCAGGACTCCTATAGATGCTAACATTGCTTCCCTGCTGATGACAACACTGTGCTGTAGTTCCACTTCAGCAGTCTGTAAAGGTGACTGAGACTGGTCCAGAATTTTAAAAAAAGACCAATTAAAGAAGCAGTTTTGTGTGAAATTTAAGATCACATCTTAAAGTCTTCTTTTTCAGTGGCATTGCCACTAATCTTTCTGTTAACTCTATTGATCTTTGATTGTTTTAACTTTTTTTTTTTTTTTTAATATCTAGAAACACGGTTAGAGCTCCCTGTAGAGCTATGCTATAATATGGTGACTTACCTTAAGCTACAGAATATTAAAGCCATGTAATAAATACAGCATCATATATTTAGTAAGCACTATGATCAATTTCTATGCAGTGGTTAAGCATCAGATAGCCTTGGGTTTTACTTCCATTTCTGCCACTAATTAGCCTTGTGATCCTGGGTGAATTTATTTAACCCTGCCAAGTTTCAGTTTCATCCTCTGTATGTTGGTGGTAATAATATATCAATGAGGGGGGCTTCAAAAAGTTTGTGGAAAAATGACTATTTTTAATTCCAGTTGTCCACGAACTTTCTGTAAATCTCCCAGAATTTTTGTGAGCCTTCATATGCATACAGTGGTTTGCACAGTGCCTGGACACAGTGACCTCTCAGATGGTAACATTGTATGCGCATGTAGTTAGAGTGAAGGGATAAGTTCTGAGGAAGTTCATCATTTAAATAAGTATGTATTTTAAACACATAAATAACCATCATTTGAAATAGAAGTTAAGTACTAAAACAGAGTAATAAAATACTTTGGAAATTGAGGAGGGAGAGGTTACCTTCTCTGGGATTCATGGAGGTGGTACATGAAATGGGGTTTAAAGATTGGCTACAAGTTCACTGGAAGCCTGGAGGAAGAGCTGGAGTGAGGGAAGGGCACTTAGGTGAAAGGGACAGAATAAGCATATATATGTAGCTCTGGTAGCATAGTGGTTACAAATTGGGCTGCTAATCTCAGGGTCAGCAGTTCGAAACTACCAGCTGTTCCATGGGAGAAAGATGAGGTGTTCTGCTCCCATAAAGATTTACAACCTAGGAAACGCTGTACAGGGTCGCTATGAGTTGGATGGAATCAACTTCATGGCACATCACCACCACCACCACCACCACCACCATGTAGGTATAAAAGCTTATGACATGGCAAGCAATCAAGTCCCTTTAGGACAAACCCTACTCCAAGAGTGAAACTCAAGGGAACAAATGAGCAGGTATGTAAGCCTGCTGGCAACCATGTTGTTCTACTGGTGAGTGGAAGAGAGGGAAAGGCACCAATGAAGACATGGACTGAGTTCAACCACGTTCCATAGACTCCTGTTGGCCTGGAGATGAGAGAGAGAATAAGAAGGGTGCGTTGGTCCAAAGTGTGGAGAAACCTGGGGGACACCAGAGCCCATGGACAAAGACATAGCCACGGAGGGCTAGAGCTGAGAGTAAAGTGTCCAGCTGATATGAAGTGAGGGGAGATGCACAAGAACACCCAAACTTATAGATAGTACCTATTTGACCTAGCCTCATGGTTTGATGATCAGAACTTGACTAGAGGAAGATAAAAAAAATTTTTTTGATAAAAGAAACAAGTGTAAATTGCTACAATTTGATGAACTTGATTTATACTTATGGATATAGTAGCTCAAAATACCAACTGAGAGAGGAGTCTTCACATCAAGTATCAATCCTATCCCCTCTGTATACAAGGTTGATAGGGACGGGCACCTTATGACACAAACAACCTAAAATTGGTGGGGGGAGGACTAAAAAGGGACAAAGTGACTGGCTTACAAGTTTTCAAGAGGGAGTTTAGTTTCAGAGTGTACAGGGGAAGGTAGAATCCCCACTGAATAGTTTTCATCTTGTCTTTGAGATGGGTCTAGTGAAAGGAGATGGGGATAAGATTCTTATGATTCAATAGTGAAAAAATGTTATCATGACTAATTGTGACTGTCACAATGTAAAGGTAGAAGTTTTGTAACAAAAAGTGGGGAGTAATTAATCTTATAGTCCAGGAAAAGAGGACCCTAGGACCATCAAGGGAGAAGACCACGAGCAGAATGTGGGACCCTATTCAGAGAGGCAGTAACACCAGAGATGGAGGCAGAGATGGGGATATAGAAAGCGAGCAGCTGAAGACTCTAGACTCATGGAAAGAGAAAGGCTGTGTGTTGGCGGTCAGGAGGCAGGCTTGCAGAATGTGCCATTTGGTTGTTTAAATGATTATATATTCCTGAGTGGTTTTGTGTACATCCCCCCAAAAAACAACAACAACAAAAAACAGAGGGAATAGGGAATAAAAGCAAATACTGTTGAATGATGATGCATGGAGGAGATTGCAATCATTGTAATGACAATGAGTGTAAAACCGATGCTCTCCCATGTAAACTATCACAATAAAAGCTTTAAAAAAAAAAAAAAGCTATGACCAGTTCAAGGAGCAATGAATTGCTCTGTTTGGTTAATATCTGTAGAGGGCTAAGGGCTAGAGTGAGTTATCTAAAAAGGCTTGAAAGACTGACTATGCAGCACTTGAACTGACAGGGCGAAGAGTCTGGTCTTTAGCCAGTAGGTAATGGGGTAGAGAGTATGGTACTATGGAAATGAAACTGATAAGTGCTACATTTTTGAAAGACTAATTTGGAATTCTTGTATAGACTGTGGTGGATTTTTGCTTTAAGCATTTTCTTCATAGTCTTGTGACTCCCTAGGATCCTGAAAACCTAGAGTCCAATGGCACTCACCTCTTGGAACAAGATAAGCCTGCTGATCTGGGTCGCTTGTTCTGGCCCCGTGACGACTCTGCAGCTCCATCAGGGACTGCCTGCTGGGATTAAAAGAAAAACTGTGTGCAGCATATGGAAACCTTGAAAATATAAACAACACTCAGCATACATTTTCAAAAGAATCATGTAGAAAAGAAAGAGTTTAATCACAATGCTAAGAGCCACGGAAATCTGAATTGGAGACTAACTGGAGTTTCAAACACCACTGAGACTAGAACATGAGGTAGTAAAAGTAAAGGACAATTAAGATGAAATAATAAGGAAATAGCCAACTGGCAACGCTGACAAGAAAATGAATTAGGAAAAAGTGGCATGTTTATAAAATCAGACATCACTGTAAAATGAATTAAATCTGCATCTATCCACAGAATTCAAAATTGCAATGTGGTGTAGAGCAAATTGAACACCATTACATATAGAGATCGTGTTGTAAGTTTAACACAGGGAAATCAATATTATCTTGTTTTAATATGTTATATAGGTGTACAAGGAGCTCTGGTAGCGTGGTGGTTACAAATCAGGCTACGAACCACAAGGTCAGCAGTTCAAAACTACCAACTGTTCCATGGCAGAAAGATGAGGCTTTCTGCTCCCACAAAGATTTACAGCCTCGGAAACCCTGTACAGGGTTGCTATGAGGTTGCTTTTTCCAATTCAACGGCACATAACCATCACCATATAGGTGTACATCTATACGTACAAGTATAAAACAGATGAGACTACAGGACAAATTCTTAGTAGTCGATGGCAAGAACAGAGGTACAGGAAACAAAGAAGATGTCAACTTTTTCTACAACTTTCTTTTTTCCTTTAACAAAAAAATACTTGAAGCAAATGTTATTGTTGTTGTTAAGTACCGTCAAGTCAGTTCCGACCCATAGCAACCCTGTATAGGGTTTCCGAAGAGCAGCTGATGAGCTTGAACCACCGACCTTGCAGTTCAAACAGCTTTGCAGTCTGGAGCATTAATCCACAGCACCACACCAGGACTCCAAGCAACTGTTAGCAATTGCCAATTCTGGATGTGCTATAAATTGGTGTATGTCATTTTAAAGTCCTCACAAGGATTTTTTTTTTTTTTAAATCAGAAGTAATTTTATTAGCATTTTACTTTAAAACACATTAGGGAATGTCAAGTGTGATGAATATTTTATTCATGACAATGGCAAGGTGTGATATCAGCACACATATGATGTCATGTTTTACAGCTTATCTAAAATCAAGGAACTCAACTGGGTTCCCACAAGGCTCTGGAAAGTGTGTTATAGTACACCCAACTCAGTGTTAGCGTCACAATCAAATGAAGACTACTGAGTAATTCTTACAGCTCCAATTATAACATATCTTACATCACTTCTTCTACAACCCTGGGCTGATATATGCTCTAAATTTTCCTCTCCTTTACTTTACCTGCCTCCATCTTCAAAAGCATCATTTTCTTTCAGCAAAATTGCCAGCTGCAATGCCAGTTGTTCCTTTTCTTCATGAATCTTCTCTCTCGCTGCTCTTTCAGCATGAAAATCAGAACAGTAAACCTCCATCTGTTAGAGGAAAAAAGACTGGTTATTAAAACTAGACGAATGTGCATCCTGTGACGTGCCTTGTAAGTGACAGATACATAAGCTACATAATGGTCTTTCTAGAAGCCAGTGTATACCATGCCTTTCCAATTACATCAGACAGAAGATACAGGGCTTATATGTATGTGTGTGTGCCCTTTAAACAATCAGAACTCAGCAATTACACTGATAGAAGTTGTGTAAATACTCTGTAACATTAATTCAGTACATTTTTTTCTGTCCCTGATAGTGTGGTAAAATGACTAATTTTTTAAAAAGAAAATTCAGGATTCACTTAGTTGAAGTAAATGATTTATTCGCTCTGATTTATTTAGCTGACATTAAGCTAAATTTAAAGTAATAAAATGAAAGAAGTGCTATTTACTGCATTCCAAACATGTTGGATGCTTTATATTAATTACCTCATTTCACGTTATCAAAACCCTGGGAATATGGATTTGCTATCCTCATTTTACAAATAAGCTTAATAGGGATCCTTGTTGTTGTTAAATGCCGTCAAATTCAGTTCCTGTATAGGGTTTCCTAGGAGCGGATGGTGAATTTGAACCACCAACCTTATGGTTCAAATTGACCTTATGGTCCAGTGCTTTACACCACAGTGCCACACTAGGACTCCTAATAGGACTTAATTGTGGGCATTTAGTTTAGTGGTAAAATCAGGAATTGAAGTCAGATTGAAACACAAGCTTTTTCCTTATACCACCAACTTCCCATGTGTGGTAGCCAGCCTCCAAGGTGGAATGCTCATCTCTTGTTATCCATGCTCTTGTGTGGTCCCCTCCCACAATGAATACACCCAGCTAGGATTTTTCAAGAATGATGGTGAGTAGCTTTTGAGATGGAGTGTCACAAAAAACACTGTGGCTTCCATCTTGCTCCCTTTTGGACTGTTTGCACTGGGGGAAGCCAGCTGCCATGTCATTAGGGCACTGAGGAGCCCTATGGACATGGACAGGTCCCCAGGGTGAGGAACAGAGAACTTCTCCCAATAGCCATGTGAGTAAGACATGCTACTCCTGGATTCTGCCCCGCAGAAACTGTATGGGCTAATAAATGCTTATCGATGTCTCAACTGCTACGTTTGGAGGTAATTGATTACAAAACAAGAGATAATGCTAGGATAGTAATCCCTTCATTGTTAGCAAATGATAAAGCAAACATAAAACACTTAACAATGTTGGAAATTTAAGTGAATTGAGCATTAGTCTCATACTAGTTTTTAACTTTCTATGCTTAATGTTATAGGTTTTTTTCTTTCCAAATTTAATTACAGAATACAAATTATCTTTAAAACTAGGATAAATATATGTAACACATTATTTGCCTTTTCTACATTTTCCCCATATACAATTTAGTGACATTGATTATGTTTAGCCATTATTTTTACAAATAAAAATTTAAAAATCAAAACACTGTCAAACCTTTACTAAAAAAAGAATGTAATAAAGATAATTTTAAGGAACTCTCTACAAGTATGCACAGGAGAAAGATGAGGCTTTCTGGTCTGCCAAAATATTTGCTAATACAGGATTGCTATGAATCGAAATAAACTGCACAGCACGTAACAACAACTACAATTGTGAGTGATCCAGCATGCTATCATATCATTGATGGATTATAGATCGTTGAGTCAGACCTAGATTCAAGATAGGATTTCACTTCTTTAACTTACTAGCTTTGATCCAGTCAAGAATAGGGTCTTTATTTGTCCATTCCTATAGCCCTAGACTCACTAGTGGCTCCTCAGAAATGCTATACAGGGTTGCTATGAGTTGGAACAGAGTTGATGGCACATAACAACAAGAATAGCCTAGAAGAATGAACAGTGTCTAATATGTTGTTGTTGTTAGGTGATGTCAAGTTGGTTCCACACCGGGCCTGGACCATCCTCACAACTGTTGTTATGCTTGAGTCCTCTGCTTGCTGTCTTCCTCTTGTTCACTGACCCTCCACTTTACCAAGTATGATATCCTTCTCCAGGGACTGGTCCCTCTTGACAATATGTCTGAAATATGAGAGATGAAGTCTGGCCATCCTGGCTTCTAAAGAGCATTCTGGCGGTACTTCCAAAACAAATTTGTTTGTTCTCTGGCAGTCCATGGTACTTCAACATTCTTCTCCAACACCATAACTCAAATGCATCAATTGTCTCATTCTGGATCAAGTATCATGGTCTGATAGGGATAGGTTTTAATATTAATTTCTCCCTCTAATAATAGTAACAATAGCTAATAGTACCAGTCAAGTGTGGGTACAAAAGGACATGTGTGTTAGGTGAAGCAAGGACAGAGAAGAGAATTGGTCAAATTCTTTGTGGCCACCACAGTCTGAATATTTGGTTGTTGTTGTTTGGTGCCATTGAACAACACATTGTGACAGAGCAGAACTTCTCCAAAGGGTTTCCTACTCTACAATCTTTACAGGCTCAGACTGTCAGGTCTTTATCCCACAGAACCCCTGGGTGGGTTCAAACTGCCAACCTCTTAGTTAGCAGTTAGCTGAGCATTTAACTGCTGTGCCACCAAGTCTCCTTCAGTAGTGCTGTTGTTGTTGTCTGGTGCTCTGGCGTCAGTTCCAACTCATAGCGACCCTGATGTCAACAATGCTATCCCTATTCCATATCCTTTTCTGAATCTGGCTTGATTTTTGGCAATTCCCTGTCGATGTACTGTTGCAACCATTTTTAAATTATCATCAGCAAAATTTTACTTGCATGTGATATCAGTAATGTTGTTTGATGATTTCTGTATCTGTTGGGCCACTTCTCTTTGAAAAAGGCACAAATTGAATTGGTTGACCAGGTAAGCTGTCTTCCAAATTTCTTGGCATAAATGAGTGAGTGCCCCCAGTTTGCTGAAAATTTTCAATTTGTATTCTGTCAATTCGTGAAGACTTGTTTTTCGCCAATGCCTTCAGTGCAGCTTGGACATCTTCTTTCAATATGTTGGTTCTTGATCATATCCTACCTCTTCAAATAAACATCAATCATTTCTTTTTCGTACAGTGACTTTATGTATTCTTTCGACTTTTTCCTTCTTCATTTAATATTTACTTCATAGAATCCTTCAATATTGAAACTTGGGGCTTGAGTTTTTCTTCAGTCCTTTCAGTTTGAGAAATCCTGAACATGTTCTTCCCTTTTGGTTTCCTACCTCCAGGTCTCTGCACATTTTATTATAATACTTGAGTTTGTCATCTCAAGCTGCCCTTTGAAAATTTCTGTTCAGCTCAATTCTTTAATTTGCTTTAGCTTCTCTGTGCTCAAAAGCAAATTTCAGAGTCTCTTCTGACATTCATTTTGGTCTTCTCTTTACTTTCTTCTTAATGACCTTTTGCTTTCTTCCTGTATGATGTTCTTGATGTCATCCCACATCTCTTCTGCTCTTCAGTCATTAGTGTCTAATGCATCAAATTTGTTCTTTTAAGATGGTCTCTAAATTCAGATAGGATATACTCAAGGTTGAATTTTGGCTCTCATGGATTTAATTTTCTTCAGCTTCAGCCTGAACTTACATATGGCTAACTGATCATTCAACAGTCTATCCCTGGCCTTATTTTAGCTGATATTAAGCTGCTCCATCATCTCTTCCCATAGATATAGTCAGTTTGATTCCTCAGTATTCCATCTGGTAAAATCCACATGTATAGTCACCATTTATGTTGCTGAGGAAAGGTATTTCCAGTGAATACGCTGTTGCATTCTTTCATGTGATCCTGCAGCATCATTTCTATCACCAAGGCCATAACATGCAACTTTTGTATTCCAATATCACTAGTAATTATCAATGCATCTTAAGTTCATATTTGATCAATTTTAGACCAAAAAAAAAAATTGGTAGAATTCTTCAATTTCTATAACACTGGCTTTGGTGGTTGGTGCGTAAACTTGAATAATAGTTGTATTAATTGGTTTGCTTTGTAGGCATGTAGATATTATCCTATCACTGACTGCATTATATTTCAAGATAGATCTTGAAATATTTTTTCTGATGATTAATGTGACA